CCATTCAAGGTTCATTACCACCAACATCAACACCAACAAAAAATTAAGAACTACAATGTTTAACTTTCATCCTTTGAATTCTTTTGAATAAATATATGATGATGAAATTTGTACTTTGCAATATATGAGGTTGAATTTATATGACCATTTACGTTATTAAAGGACGTATATTTTTATTTATTTAATTATATGTTTTCGATAAATCATCTGCATTATAAGAATAGTTTCTAAAAAGAAAAAAAAAAAGAAGAGACACCTAGGACAAAAAAATTTTTTTTGCTAGGTTCACAAACTCCTCCAAAATAAAAAGTATCTAAAAATATCATTTTTAATCCAATTATTTTAATAAAAGGACTATATTTGATTATGTTGAGCACATGATGTTGTTCATTTTTAATCCAAACTTTTAGTAAAATTAAATGTATTTAATTCCTTATTTTGAACAGTCTTATTTTCCTTTTTAATTCATTAAAAAAAAATATTATCCTTCGTATCGAACAATCGATTAATTTCATTTTTATACTTAACAAAGACATATAATTCTCAATTAAATCATGTACGATATTTTGTAATTAACAATATAGTCAATTCAAAAAGTAGTATAATTGAATTTCTCCATCTGCCAATTTTAATTAATTCTAAATATAATATAAAATATATTTGGTTCTTTAACTTCTATAAAAGTAAAAACCTACTTAAAATACTTTAAATTTATTGGACCACTTTTAAAGTCTTATCTATTATAGCTAAAAATTATTATTCCTCCCCCCCAAAAAAAAATTAGTAGAATATGAAAAAAAAAAAAAAAAAAGAGTTTTTGACCTAACAAGGAAAAGAAAGTCAAATGGTTATAAAAGAAAAGAAAATAATTAATTTTCCTTTAGAAGTATAACATTCATGATAATAATTTAATACTATTTTCTCTATAAAACAAATTATTCCTAATAAAGTAAGAAAAATAATCCAAAATTTAGTAGTGTTGACTGTTGACTATACATTGCTTGAATAGCAAAACCATTTAAAATTGTTGAAAACCCATTCAAAATTTTCCTAAAAAAGTCTTAAGATTATTATAGACATTTTATAAATGCTAATAAGAAATTAATTATTAATCTCAATATGTACAAGGTATATACATAGACACATCTATATATAAAGAGAGCACAATATTAATATTTTCCAACATTACAAAAATATTATTTTTAGTATAAGAAAAAAATGCATAAAAAAATGGTCTTTCACTTAATTCTTTTGATGATTTTTTTTGTTGCTACAAATGGTGTAATAGTCATTATTGAATGTGATCAATCTTCTTGCTCAAAAAAATGCCATGATGCTTATGGAACCAAATTAATAAGAGCATATTGTCAACACACATTTTTTGGAAATTTTTGTATTTGTGAACATAATCCAATCATACATGAAGGATCAAGGAAGAGTTTACACATGTTATAAATGAAATAAAAAAAAACAAAATTATTTATATTTCATGTCTTTTGATGATTGTACTTTCTATTATTTTAATTTGATTTCTCTGAATTAACTATTTTATTTTGTCATATTTAATTTATATATCCATAAAAAAAAATCGGTCAGAGTTTATTTCAAACAGATATATTTGCCCACATGGATATAAAAATAACACAAGATTATAAATAGTAACGTGTCCACGTGGGCACATATATACCTTTAAAATACATTATTAAATAGTTCAGAGGTAAAAAATATGCTATTAAATAGTTCAGGTAGGTAATAGGTCCTCATGAAAATTTAGTATCGAAACAACAAATTCGACCAAAGTTTTTCAAACCCTTATCCCTGTTTTAAATATACGGTGATAGATGAGAACATATATATCTTTAAAATACATTATTAAATAGTTCAAGGGTAAAAAATATATTATTAAATAGTTCAGTTAGGTAATAGATCCTCGTGAAAGTTTAGTATCGAAACAACAAATTCGATCAAAGTTTTTCAAACCCTTATCCCTATTTTAAATATATGGTGATAGATGAGAAGATGATTTTTTTTTCTTATTTGTTTAAGTTAAAGTTCATGCGTAAATCGCAGAAACAATTTTTGTTTGGCTGCAAATATCTTCTCGGAGTGTCTCGGTAATAAGAGACTCGTTTAAGTTGTTTAAGTGAAAATTTTATATTACTTTAAAAAATTATCTATGTATATATTTTTAAAAAAAATAAGAAAGAAAATATATCGTTTACTTTATAAAGAGGACACAATGTCAAAAAAAAAAAAAAATCCTCTTAAACAAAATTCACAAATCTAAAAGATTATTGATCATATTATTATGTTCTTATTTAAAGGAAGAGTCCTAAAATTATAATAGACTTTTTTTAAAAAGAAAAATGGCAATAAGAAATTAATTATTAATCTCAAAATGTAAAATGGATACATCAAATATATACTATATATATAGAGTACAATACTAATTTTTTTACATTGCAAAAATATTACTATCTTGGTATAATAAAAAAAAGAGAACAAATGCATCCAAAAATGATTTTTCACTTGATTCTTTTGATGATATTTGTTATTGCTGCAAATTGTCAAAACAATTACTACTACATGTGATAAAGCTTCTTGCTTAAAAAAATGCCAAGATGCTTATGGATCCAAATTAATAAAATCTTATTGTCAGAAAACAGTATTTGGAAATGTTTGTATTTGTGTACACAAGCCAATCATCCATAAAGGATAAAGGAAGAGTTTGTTTACATAGGTTATAAATGAAATAAAGAAAATAAAATTATTTGTTTTTCATTTTTTTTATTATATAATTGCACTTTCTAATGTTTAATTTATAGAGTTCGGAGTCTAATAAAAATTGATCATAAACTTCAAAAGAGAAACAAAAATAAGTTTCTAACCATATGGGCAGCATTTAAATGGTAAGGCAAACGTCATGTAAATTAAAATAGCAAAAATGTAAGGCGCGACTTTCTACGTACCTTACAAGGCGCATGCTGACAATGTCTTAAATCACAAAGTTTAAGAGTATATTTATCTTTTTTTCCAAATCATTTTATGAATGAAAAATTTCAAAATAATTTAATAACAAGAGAGAGATATTTAGCACTATAATATAACGAATAACATTTTAACTGATTAACAAAAATACGATAATATTTATTACTCTTTTCTCGACTTTCTATTAAAGTCGATTAGAGCCAACTTATTGGTACGATCCACATTATTGAACCCAAACTCCAAAGCGCCTTGGATGGACTTAGAGTTTTCTATTCAACTGAAAACAACACTTCTGGCTTAGAGCTCATTTCGATTTTACGTGTACACTTATCTCAATTTTCATTTTCGATATTGGACTCTCATAGTGAAATTTCTTACACTTCAAACCATTCAATCCTGAACACGTGAGGGGTGGGCGTGAAGAAGTTCTAAATCGGGCAATTATGAAATGTGATCTCTTTTTATGATGATTTGAGCAATCTTTTTCAAAATATTATATCTGAATCATTTCAATTTATATTTACTTTGTTGGACCCCATATAAAATTGGGCAAAATGATAGAAATCCCAATTTTAAGTTCTCTTATTACCATTGTCCCCTATATGTTTTACAAATTCCCAAAATCCCTCATTTTTACGCATCAGATTAATGTATCAGGGCATCAAATTAATGTATCTTGCGCATCAGATTAATGTATCTCGTGCATCAGATTAATGTATCTCGTGCATCAGACTAATGTATCTCACACATCAAATTAGTGTATCATATATAAAATGAACATCAAATTAATGTATCATGTATGAAGTTTAATGTATCTTACTTAACAATTAATTTATCTTGCGCACCAACATTCTATCTCCCCTCTCTTATTTGTAATTTGTGATTATGTGAGGAAGAAAATATTAAAAATTTTCAAACTTGATTTTTACTATCTGCTACTTGAATAAGAAAAACATTTAACTTGACCCCATAAAACTAATTTAAGTAATTAGATCAAAATCTCAATTTAAAATTATGTAAACTTGGTAATTTATTAACTAATCTTCCATTTCTTCTTTTGATAATATATGGATCTTTTTTCTATTCATTCAATGGTAAGAAAATAATTATTAATCTTAATATGTACACAATAATTACATTACTATATATATCTATATCTATATATAGATACCACAAGAACTGTTGTGCGGAATTTGAGATAATACGAGAAAATATAAACGCGAAAAACAAGACAACAGATTTACGTGGTTCACCAATAAATTGGCTACGTCCACGGGAAGAGAGGGAGCAGTTTTATTATGGACAGGCAAAAACAGAATTACAGAATAGGGTTTCCCATAGCGTCTATATATAGTGCTAAGCTACGCCCTAACAGGCTTGGGCCCAACATACAGAATCAACAGAAAATTAAGGGCCCAATACAACAACATTGTATACAAGAACTTTTCTCCCAATATTGCAAAAAAAAAAAATGGATCTAAAAATGATATTTCATTTGGTTCTATTGATGATTTTTGTTGTGAATGGAGGAAACTATAATTTTGTTGAAGGTGAAAGTCAGATTATTATTTATAAATGTGATCAAGATTCTTGCACAAAATTATGCAAAGAAAATTGGGGGCCTAAATTGATTAGAGCTTTTTGTGAGCACTCAAAGTTTGGAGATACTTGTACTTGTGAACATCATAATGTTATGAACACAGAGAATTTGCTTATGTGATAAGAGAAAAAAAAATTTATGTTACAATTATTAAAATGTTTTTGAAAAGTTGAATCTCTATAATAATTATGCGATTATTGACTGATTATTTTGATATAGTTCATATTTCATAAACATGTGATTGCAGTATTAGACTAATGAAACAAAATAAATTATTTGCAAACTATGTATTTGAGTTTGTCCATAAGTTTATTTTTTTATCGGATAATTGAATAAATTTTATGAAATTAAGTATAAGGTTCTTTTTAATAATTTTGATTTTAGATTCAAATATCAAAACCAAACCTTAAAATGCTGATAAACACGACTCATAATTGTTGATTGTATATTTTTCATTTTCTACTTACATGAATACTTATATTTTTATGAAAATATAAATCGATTTTATAACACCGTTATTTAATTCGAATCAACAAAAGCAATATCTCTTTCATTTATATATAGAAATTCAGATCCACCGTTTGTTACGTTTTGACCCATTGGCTCTTTGAAACCATCTATCCCATTTAACATCTATTGGGCCTTTGGTCCTGCAAAATCAAACCAACAATCACATTACTCTATTTATTCAATTAGTTGATTAAATTCACTATTTATTTTTTTTCGATCAATATTTATAAATAGATTATATAGTATATCGATAAGTTTAACTCTTGAAAAAGAAGAAAGGATGAGGAAAACATTTTTAAAATATTGTATCACACGCTAATTAGTTCAATGAATTTATTTTTATTGTCTATCATGTGTTGATCGATTTGGTTGATAGAATATATATTTCTATTAATATTTCCTTTTTATTATGCTAGCTCTTCTTTTTTTTTTTTAAATCATGTGTTTTTAGAAAGTTAGTAAAGTACAGTTTGAAACTCGATCCACGAATAATTTATCCTTCGCTATCTCTTCATTTATTTTAGATTTTATTTATGACAGATTTTAAATTTGTAATGTGCGTTTATTTCGTAGATACTGGTGATATTAGACAATATCAAAATGAAAGAGATATTTTTGTACCTTTTAAAGCTAAATAGGTTACTTTTAAAATCAAATTGCGAAAAAAATAATTTTTTATGACCACACACAAAACACTTACTAGACGAATTCTTTATATATTTTGAACTTATCCTATTGACTTTCCATCATAAAAAAAAAAAGCGTTTAGGGTAGGTACTAATATTTCACACTTATAAATTATTTTTGAAAATAAAATAGATTATTATTTTGAAAAATTAGTAATATATTTAAAAAAAACATCAAATAAAAAGAAAAATGTAAAAATGTGATAATTCTTACACTGGAAGCAGAGCATCTGGTTTGGATTCCACCACTGAAATAAATCTGCAAAAAATAGAAGGAGAAATAAACAGTCATACTTTACTCAATTATAATAAATAGATTTTTTTTTATTTAAGGTTTGATATTTTACGTTATTTATTTGGTATGAATATTTGATTCGAATATAAATTTAGAAATTGAATTCTTGATCTGAATGTACATTTGAGTGTTGACGTACTATCAATGTTATGTACAATAAAGTCGGTTTTCAAATTAATGTCCTTTTAAATTTGATATCGTATATTGCAGTGTTTATTTTTGAGGCAACACTTTCAATAGAAAAAATTACTCTAAACTCAAAACCTCTAATCATTCTATTATAACTCGAATCCGATACGAATCCGACCTGTTAGCAAGAAAAGAAGGAGCTGCTATTGATTGAATCAAGAAGAAGATAACCTCGAGCGGACCTTAGTATGCCTTTCCACAGTCAAATTACTGATTTAAAGAAATTATTGAGCCCAGAAGTTCGCCTTTCTAAGTCAAGTAATGGTGACGCACAAAAGACTGGAGCTTCGTAACATGTTGACGAAGGCCCCCAAACTGAGGGACGCACATACGGCAAGGACCAAGGGAGATCTCGTTGTTGCATAGCTCAGGTCGGAGCAAGGTGCCATCGGACGTTCAACAGGTAGTCTCACGATCGGGAGAATCTGTGATCGATCCGAAGAACCACTCCCAGATACGATTCTGCTCCCCCTTCGTACTACCATGAGATTCTTGCCCGGCTTTCTTTCGGCTTAAGAAGGCTACGGTGAGAATGAGAATCACTTCGGAACTCTAGGGACTTCTATTGATTATTAATTCGACTCTAGGGACTCCTAGCAGCAAACTAGTCTAAAAAAAGGGAACCCCACAGAGAGGCAGAAGATGCAGGAGCCGCCAGCCGGATCGACCAACAAATCATAGAGATAATAGTGAATAGTAAAAGAAATTGATCAAGAAATGAAAAGTCTAAAACTTACTCTCTGCATACTATGGAGGCCTCTCCATATGATTCAAGTTTTTCCAATTCTTCCTGCATTACCACTCATAAAACTTCAACTTTGAAACTATTTTAAAAAGATTTTATAAAGTAATTACAAGTATTTTATTACAATAAATATTAATTGATAACTAGAAAACTCAAAAAGAAAATAAAAAATCCCACATTTGTAGGATAAAAAACCCGTTTCCAATAGCTATTTTCTCAAAAGAAGTGTAATCAGATCAATATCGAAATGAAAATAATCACGACAAAATAACAAGATAAACAAAGTAAATAAAACAACAGACTAAATAAAAATGAGTAAGATACTAAATTATGTCACCCTTCTACATCATTATCTCCAATCGTATTGACGATCGTGTCTTTAGTAAACTAAAGCTATGTCATATTTTACACCTCTAATCAACTCTTCAAGTTCATCGATCTATCTTTATCTTTTCTAAAATCTTATAAAGCCAACCTTTCCAAAAAGTCGAAAAAAAGAAAATATTTTTTTTAAAAAATAAAACCTGAATGAATTGGATTTGTTGATCAAGAGAAGAAATAGCAGCAGCCATACGATGTTTGCCCATAACAAAATAATTAGTTGTACTCTTTGAAACAAGGCTTGTACTTGTCTCAACCATAGATGATGAACAAGTATAATTAATTAATTGATCTTCTTCTTCTACTTGAGGTTCTTCATCATCATTAATTATAATTAATGAATCCATTAAACCTAATTAAGATCAAGAAAAGAAAATGGAGATATGGGGTTGGATATTTTTATTTTTATATTATAAGAAAAATGTGAAACTAATAATGAAATGTGGTGGTTGTTATATAAAAAAACAAAAAAATCAAAGTGGTGGAATAAAAAATATTGGTCAAAAAGGTAGGTGGAGAAATGGGAGTTGAGAGACATAGGAAGAATAAATTTATATATATAAATATTGAACCTTACGAATAAATAAAATTTATTCACATCGATCGATGCATATTATATGTTTTTTTAATTAATTTAGATATTTTTAAATATAAATTATGTTTAATAGAATAATATCTATTTAATATAGTTTTTTTATTATACAAAATTTTATTTACCTAATAAATATAAATTTGAAAGAGAAATATCAAAAATACGACTTAATACTGTATTTTATTTTTAATGGAAGATTGATACGAATAAATGTTATTTTTGCGTAAAATGTACATATAACTTAATTCAAACAAAAGTAATTAAATTTCAGCTATATAATACTACAGACATAATATTTGAAGTTGGAATTTTTAAAAATTAAATTCATACATCATATATAAAAACTATATATTAAAATAGATATACATATGTGTGTATATATATCCTCCTCACGATTGTGGGCCTATCTTCACGATTGTCTGGGCTTAACCAATTTGAAGGCCCACTATTTTATGGTGAAGGAAAGCCCAATTTCTTTTTGGGCTTCAATAAGTTCTATCTAAGTTTTAAGTTGGAAAATTTACATAAATTAATACGTTTTAAAAAATAATTACTGATTTTAACGATACTTTTTTTTATTACCATTTGTAGCAATGCTTTGTTAAATCTTTAATATGTATTAAAAGTGAATTGTGTATGAAATATATATGAATTATAATTGTTTTTTAAAATATATCATGTTTGTTTGGTAAAAAATTGTCACATTATATTATAAGTGTATTAAAATGTGTAATAAATGTATTATTCATCATTAAAATTTGTATTATATGTGAATAATAAATTGTTCTTTGTAATATGTATTAAAATTATATTATAAATGAATTAAAAGTAATCAAGTAAAAAAAATATTATTGCTATAAATAGTAAATATTTTTTTTTATAATAGTATATTTATGTAAGTTTCCCTTTTAATTTTTTCTTACAAGGTTAAACTTCTAGTCAATTGAGTAGATTTATCGTCTCGAAATATCTTGAACGTCTACTTTTTGCAAAATTAAAACTTATATAAAAATGGTCAACATATGAAAAGTTTAACTTTGACCTATAATGTAGTTTATTAAGTACTTCTCTATATTTAATAATAGATGATTACCTTTTATTTTACACGATGATTAAGTAATCGTTAATAGATTGATCAATTTTATTATTTTGCCTTTTGTCCATATTAATTAGTCTCTCAAAAATAATCTTTAAAATTTGTTTAAACTTTCAAAAGTCATGTTAATCGAAAGGGTAAGTGATAAAGTAATATGAGACAAATTATTTTAGTAAGATGCTCATCTAATATGAGACACAGAGAGTAATTTACTATCGTATTATCATTTAATCTATTAAAAAAAAATCTTAAAACGTTAAGAATCAATGACCAAAAAAATTAAAATCGTTAAACCATTACTAATAAATCAATAACTATTTATCGCGTTTGATTTTGAATTGAAAAAATTTATTCCGTTGCCGGGATTCGAACCCGGATTTTTCAGGTGACCGTCACTATGGTCAATCTGTAAATAACCATTGCTACAACGGAGAACTTTAGCATTTTATAGGAAACAAAATATTTTTTATTATATTAAAGAATATAATCATGGAAATTGCATAAAATATAGTAGAGTCGTTAATATGGGTCAGGCCTGTTGGGCCGGCCTGGCCTAGCCTGGGATTTAATAGGGTTGGGATATGATTTTTGGAGTCCATTTGAGAAAAGGGATTTTTAGTCTGGCCTGAATAAGCTTGTTGATTTGTGGGGCTTGAGAAATATTGGTAGGGCCGGCCCGTAGGCCAATAAAAATTAATTAAAAAATATTATATAATAAAGAAATTTTAAAATTAAAGAGAATACAAACTCAAAACAATTAGGTTAACATTTCTATGTAGATATTTATATTTTTACTTGAAAAAGAACTTAATAAATATTACAAAGATAATTTTATTTGTGGATTTGATTAAAAAATTATTTGAAGACTGGATCCTAGCTAGCTATAGTTTTCCAATTTGTGTTTTATATTTTGATTTGATACAGGATTTTTTTTTTAAAAGAGAGTTTTTGTGGTTATAGATAAAGATATGTCAAATATACTATGATATTTTTTAGTTTTGTGGTCTTAAATATGTTTTGTGAAACGTTAGAATCAAAGAACTATCAACAAAAAAAAACGAGTAGAATAATGATGAAATGATTCATTTTATGTAACGATCGATTTGGTGTGATCGTGCACTTACTTTGCATTAATAATCATATTTCAGCTTTATCCATACTTTTTCATAGTAGTTCTACTTTGTACTAAACTTTTTTTTTTGTAGGTTTAATTTATCATTCAAATCATCATGAATGTGTGACATTATGTAATATAAAGAATGATGCAATCTATAAAAATAATGTATCCACTAAAATAATACTGTACGATACACTATAATATGAAATAATGTGTAACAATCATTGAAACAAGGTGTAAATTAGAGTCTCGATTTCGAACCAAGGGTCAGAAAAAATTAAGATTAGTTGCCAAATTTAAAAGAACATCATATGTGGTATATAAACTCGTCTTTTATTTCTTTATTTTACCATATTTTATTTTATTTTTCTATAATTTCAAACTTATTTCTGGTACATATTTTCTTAGTGAGAGATATCATAAATTTTCTTTATAACGAATGATAACAATGTAAGTGATTTTATGTGCGAATAGTCATAAGGTTAAAACTAAATAATATTTGAAAATAGAAAATTAATTTAATCTATTTCATTTAATATATTAACATAATTAACCTCAAAGTTTCTTTAAACTAAGATGAAACTATTATTCTTTTTAATTCCCTCTCTAATTAAGCTAATTTGGAAAAGTATGGTATGTTTTTTTCTTTTTTAGGAACCTTTTTTCCCTTTTTACACTAATAGTATAACGTGATCTATTATATAATATTTTTTTTTACATTTTTTAAAATTTAAAAGTATCAATGAATAAATTACACATAATTATCTTTTAAGTAAAACTGATCGATCCTATAGATATTTCATACACCATCAATATATAGGGCTTGTAATCGAATATAAAAACTTCTCAACTCAAATCACAACTAAACTAAAAAAAATAATACGATAATCGATATGCAAAATATATAGAAATTAAATTATTATTCTTTCTCCAAGAAAATAAACTTTGAATACAATCTCAATCATAAACAACTTTCAATTGATAAATAAGACACTTACCAATCTAACACTTAGGCACAACCAAAATACAAACAATGAAAAGGGAAGCATCCTTAAATTATTATTCACGAATGAATTAAAAAAAAAAAAGTCAACAAAAAGAAAAATCAATTCGATTCTGACTTGATAGAGTCGGTGCTGATGCTACCTATCTTTAAACTTCAAATCAAACAATTGTAACTAATTAGGACATTGGAATCCATTAGGAACTTTCTTGGAACAAACATTAAGAAGCAAGCTCAATGAAATAGGGACATTAAGGTTAATCCCTAAGACATTAGCCTTAAGAGCAGTACAAAGACAAAGGGCAGCTTCAACATCAGCAAGTCCAGAAATAAGACTACAACAAGGTGTGACTGGTGGTGAACCAACAACAACATTAACTAATCCAAGAACATTTGCACAAACACCTAATTTTAAGGTATCAATTGGACAAGTCTTGTATTTTGGTACATATGGTGGTGGTGGACATGATGGCTTTGGTTTAGGTTTAGGTTTAGGGCAAGTGTTACAACTTGAAACAAATGTGAAGAAAATTAGGTTAAGGGAAAGTAATAGAGCAAGAGTAGAGAAAAACTTCTTGGAAGCCATTGTGAAAAATATATAAATTAAATAAATGTATTTTCTTGGAGAAATGGTAAGTGAATGATTTAATTTGTGAATGGTTGGAGGTATTTATAGGGTTGAGATAGTAGATATATATATATATATATATATATATATATATATATATATATAAATATAGCATAGTTATTTTACTTTTTTTTTTGTTTCATTTTAACTTTGGTTTTAGTTTTAAGAATCTATCATGATACTATAATAATAGAGATATGTAGTGTGAGAGTGTATTTTCTTTTTTAACAGTTTTATATATTGTCGCAAAAATATTTAACGATAATTGAGTTAATGTTGTTAGCTTCAGAGTCTTAAGTTAAACGAAATTTATATAGAGTGTTGATTTTAAATGTATGCTCATATTTATTATTACTGTCAATTATAATATATCGGCAATTATATTATTATTTTAAATTCCTTTTATTTGTTATATTGTGTGAAATAGTTATCACTTTAAAAGTTCAAAAGGCAAAAGTTGATAATTATATCCAACTATACTCTTAAAATTTAAAGAAATATATATTATTTTAAAGAAATATATATGCACAATATTTAAGAGCAAAATTAGTTCACCATTATTAAATAGGAGTAATCAAGTAAGTTGTAACTTATATTTGTTTATTTTTTTCATTCAGTATTCGATATTCATATTAAAGCTCGATTAAATTCGAATTCACGTTAAGTACCAGATTCACTAGGGTATTGCTTTTCTTTTAATTTTAGTTTACCATTATTAAATAGGAGTAATCTAGTAAGTTGTAACTTATATTTTTTTTTTTCATTCACTATTCGTTATTCACATTAAAGCTCGATTAAATTCGAATTCACGTTAAGTACCACATTCACTAGGATAATGCTTTTCTTTTAATTTGTATCTATGTTTTGTCATATAACATAGTTAACCTAATTTCATTTACCCAAAACAAGCTATAATTTCGGTAATATATACTCCAAGTGAATTCACAAATTTAGACAATTCTTAGTTTTTTAAATTCCCAACTC